TGAAGACAGGATGGTTGTGGCCAGTGGGAATGGACAGTGCTAGGGCAGGAAGAGTGAACTGAGGGGGATTTGGGGAGCCCCAAGGCTGGGACAGAGCATAAAGGCAGACAGGCAAAATCTGAGGTCAGGAGAAGTTCCCAGCTGTGCTTGTCTCCCTGGGTGAACTTGGGCCAAGCCCTGCCTCAGTTTCCCCTTTCTGGAACATGTGGTTGGCCCAGGTGATCTCTGATATTTGTTTTCTGATGCCCTAAGCTCTGTCCCGCCAGGTGTTGGGCTGGGTGTGTTGTAGTGATCCAAGAAGCTTGCTTGAGGACATGAGTTAGAACAACAGAAAGTGGGAGGAGGAATGGGTGCAGGGAGTGAGGCCACCAGGAGAGCGGAACTGAGCAGCCCTCTGTGGCTGCGTCAGCACCGAGGAGGGGGCAGGGGAAAAGGAGGGGAGCAGGACATGGGAGAGGGGATAGGTCTCTCAACTAGTGGCTTGAGCAGCGAGGGGAGAAGGTAATCCATATTCTCTGAGTTGACCACAAGAGACCAGACAGAGTCTGTATGCCCTGTGAGGACCTCTTCTTCCTCCGCCTTGGAAGATAGCTTCTGGGTGGCCAGACTTACCAAAATAGGAAAACAAGAGAAGAGGAAGTTTTCCAGCTATTAAAAGTGCAGCGGAAGTGTGGTCAGTTTCTTGTGACTCAGTGAAATGGCTCTGCAATGGTCCCACAGGTCTGCGCCAGGGACAAAAGGTCAACTGGTGGGGTACTCACACCTGCCACTGCCCTGCACGCCACCCCCTCACACTCCTCTCGGCATCCCACCTGCACAAAGAGGCTTCTGGGCTGGCCCTCCTCAAGGAAGGATGCCCAGTTCTCCCTCTCTCCTGAGAGCCCAGGATCCCAATGCCAGCCTGGCGTGATCTACCCCCACCAAGAAAGGGAAGGTTCCTGGAAGGGGAAGCTGGTCAGAGGAAGGGGATCTGCCCCTCTCCCAGAGGCAAGACCGCAAGGCCTCACTGGTTGGGGCTAGAGGACCTCCTCCCAGGAGAGGAAAAGGTCTCCTCGCCCAGAGAATGCTGGTGCTCTGGAGCAGGGCAGAAAAGCCTGGTCTCCCCAGTCTAGCCCCAGCTTCCCATCAGAGAGCTGTGATTACTGAGGAGGTCCTCCCTGCCTGCCATGGCCCTTCCTCCCGTATGGTGGGCTGGCTATGGAAGATCTAGACGTCTAGACCAGCTAGACATCTGCTGCAAGAAATCTTCCTGGAGCCTTCAAACCAGACCATGGGGGACCCCACATGGCCCCTGTTCTAGTTGTCAGTTATGGGGTCTGAACTATCCCTCTAGGTACTTCCTCCAGTCTCGCCACTCCCCCAGCTAGTTCCTACTCAGCCACCTCAGCGTATCACCTCTTTCAGGAAGCTCTCCCTGATTAGGTAGGCAGGCTTAAATGCTTCTTTAAACCTCACATTTTACTGCAGGCTGACCTGCTTATACTAAACAGTCTGCACAACAGACTCTGGTTTCTTTTCCCAAAAATCCTCAAGCCCAGTCTGAGACCAGCACAAAATTGGTCCCAGCCAATGGCTGCTGCATTACTATCTACCCTTGTGGCCTTGAGGCCACAAACCTATGAACCACTTCCTCCAGCCTTTGACTCATGACACACAAAAAGATAGGAAAGAACAAAAAAACTCAAGAATTTCCCCTGACTTCCCAGGTTACAATTTCTCCTCACAGTTACAGTTTGGAACAGTTTTGGAATAGCCTCGGCCCAACCCGTTCCACGCCAGAAGGGCAGCAATCCCAGGGCGTTAGGGCTCTGATAAGTATTAAGGCCTACTAAGGCCCTCCTTTTACCTGCTTTGAACATTTGAGGAAACTGAGGCTCAGAAAATGGCAAAGTGTTTGCCACACAGAACCTGAAGCTTCGACTGACACCGGAACAGGGCTCCTGCCCTGCATCTCTGTCTTCCTCACCATGGTTACTCTGGTCCAGTGCCAGCATCCATCCCACCCCAGGTCAGAGAGGCCTCTGGGCTTGGGGCTAGAAGCCCCGGGGGACATTACAGAGCATCTCTCCATCACTTCCAGCCTAGGAAACCCCCCTCTCCTCCAGGGAGCCCCACCCCTGTGGTCTGCAGAGGGAGTTCACCTTGAAGGTGATGAGAACATCTAAGTTCCTAAGGGGGCAAGGATTTCCACTGGAAATGCTGATGCTTGGGGAGCCCCAGCTGTGACCTCATCCCCTGGAGGAGGTGACAACAACCCCCTGCCCAGGGGAGTGGCCCCATAATGGCTCCCCCAGCATCCACCAAAGACAACAATAACATCCTGTTGTTTAATTGGACACAGGGTAAGGTAGAACCAGCTGTGCTGGTGGAGGCTAAGCTGTTTCTCCATCGGCAGAGGCTGGTTCCCCATTGACCTGAGAGGTCAAAACCTCCCAGACTGCCCCACCTCCTCCAACCGGGGGTGGGCTAGTGGGTAAACAATGAGAAGGGTACAATTACATAGGCATGCCCACCTTCTGCCCACCTGCAGCCCTCGCCCCATGGCTCCTACCACAGAGAGATCAGGTGCACAGACATGCCCTTGACTGTGACCAACCCCCGAGTCCTTCTGCTCTAAGGGTCAGAGGCAGGTACCGAGTTCAAGGGCACACCGCAGGTCAGGACTGGCACATCCCTATGCCTATGCTCTGTGCCAGGTCTCATCAGGCTGCAGCAGCATCAACCTCCCCATCAAGTGTAGACTGGGACCCTCCCAGAACTCCTGAGCTAATTTCCCAGGCGCTTTGGGGTCCAAGTACCAAACCATACACAACAGAGAAGAGTCTTCACACCCATTCTGGCTGGAAACTGAAACCCTAATTTCTGTCTCGGAGTGGTGGCTCAGAACCACAATCAGCCTTGACGTAGACATCCTGGCAGAGGTCACCAGGTAGACCTCGTGGTAGACAGGGACCTAGCAAAGCTGGGTCCTCTCACCCTATTCCTGGGTTAGGCCTGTCCAAGCCCATTCCTCTCCGATTGCTATGTGTCATCCCACAAGAAATAGAAGGCCACTGTCAGCCAGGCACACCATCACCATCCTGTGGTCCTGGGGGCCAGGTAGGAACTGTCTGGCCACTGTGGCACTTGGCACTGTGTAAAAGACTACAGACTTCTCTGAGACTTGCTAGGTGAGGGACTGGAAGACCCCAGGGGGTCAATAGTGTATTAGCAAGCCAGGGCACAGCACAGCCAGCCAGAGTGGCTACAGTTGGGATGAAGCTGGGCTGGGAGCTTTGAAAAGTGGGTAAGAGGACTAAAAGCAGCTTTAAATAGCCTCAGTGTGGGGACTTAGTGTCCAAGATGGTGGGGGAGGGGAGGACTCATGCATTAAGTGCTAAGAAGTGGGTGTGTTCAAAGTATGTGAATACATAAATGTATGAGGGGGGATTTTGAAAAGATGGGGAAGTGGGGGTGGGGGGGAGGAGACAAACAGCCAAATATGAGGGCTTTGGTATAGGGTGGGTTTCCAGCAGACTCAGATGTGGACCTCTCAGAGTGCCTAAAATTCCTTGCTGTCCAGGACAGCCTAGAAGACTGAAGCAAGGCAAAGATGCTGGGAGGGCAGAGGTGGTCTGGGCTGGAGCCCACGTGTCTGCAGGATTCGCAGGGCGCTAGCATGAGATACAGCTGCTTGGTTCTGCTGCCGCCAGGCGTACCAGCCACCTCTGGCTAAGTGGCAGAACTGGCCACCAAAGACCCCAAAGAATTGTCTAAATCCTCTCCCCTCCCTGACCCAGAAGGAGCAATGGTCCTGTTGCCAGACCAGAGCTGCCTGCCTGCACTGCCAGCTCACACGCTGCCGAGTGACCTTGGGCGAGTCACATTCCCTCACTGCAGCCGCAGTTGAAGCAGCTCGTTTTGTGTGGGTTTTTTTTCCCCACTATGCTAAGAATACCTGCCCCAGATAATGCTCTAGCTCTGCAATCCCTCCCAAGCCACCTCAGGCATCAAAGGGCCCCCCAAGGGGCCAGACCCGACTGGTCCCCTCGCTGTGAGTCCACCACCACCACTGCCACATGGGGGCCGCAGTACGGCCAGATTTGGGGACAGAGCTCAGTCAGTCTGGGGGCGGGGAGGCATTTGTGTGCAATGCAGGGGAGGGGAGCTGGTTCCTCAAGGCAAAAAGACTCAAACCTTTAAGGCTTTCTGTCCCACTGTACAGGGAACCAAAAGGAGGATATCCCCTGGGGAGACTCTGGTCCCCGTGGTACATATATTCACCAGTACCCCGGTTTCAGATCCGCTGCCACCTGGGGGTCCCATCGGCCGTGCCCCACCCAACGGGGACTGCCCCCCACGCTAGCGCCCATACCTGGTGACAACTGCCACGTGCGGACAAGGGGGAAAGGCCGGCCCCAGCATTGCGGAGGGGTACCCCAACCCTCAGCACACGCCTTGTCCCAGCTCCACAGAGGGTGCCCACCCCTTTACCCGGCCAGCGCTCCGGGCCGGGGCGGGGGCGGGGGCGGGGGCAGGCAGCGGGGTCTTTGTTCCCGCAGCCGGAGCGCAGTGGCGGCGGCAAGAGGTCCGCGCCCCCCTTGCCCGCCCAGCCTGCGCCCCGCGCGCCAGCGGAACCCGCAGCTCCGGAGGAGCGGACCTGGGTAGGGGTCCCAGGCTGAGAAAGGATCCTGCACCGAGGGCCGGGAGCTGGAGGGCGAGAGCGGCTCTGGGCCGAGAGAGGGGCCCGCTCCCTCCCCTTGCGCCCAGGCGCTGCGGCTCCGGCTGCGGGCAGACTTGGAGCGACTTAGCCCGGCTCCGGCCCCGCCGCGCTCTCGCGGGCGTTCCAGCCGGCTGCGGCGCGCCAGCGTGCGCACACACACTCACCCAGACCACTCTGCCCGCGGGGACAGCCCGGGACCCGCAGAGCCCGCGCACGCACTCCCTCCGGTGCCGCACACTCCGCACCCGCCCCGCGCAGCGTCGCCTTCAGCGCCCGCCGGCCGCGCGGCGCCACCTACCTTTCCAGACGGCGGAGATGCGGGGTCCGCTCCTCGGGTGGCCTTGGGTGGCGGCGGCCGCCCAGAGCAGCAGCAGCAGCCGCCGCAGCGGGAGCTCGGAGCGAGCCGGCGAGGCGCGGGAGTGCGGGGCGCCGAGGGCGGCGCAACCGGGCGGAGGCGGTGTCATGCCGCGGCCGGGGAGCGACAGCGGCTTGCAGCCGGGACTGAGCCAGCGCCCGACAGACTGCAAGCCCGACACGGTGCGAGGGAGGAGCCACGACTGACCCCACCCCACACCCTTTTCCCCCCTCCCCTTACTGCCTTTTCCGCCCAAGTGGGGGCAGTGCAAGTCTCCCAAGGGGCCTTCACCGCGGTCCCCCGCAACTCCGAGGGGAGAACTATGGCTGGAGCGGGGTAGAGAGGCTGTGGTCTTCTGCCGCAGCAGGCATCGTCCCCGCTTTGAGCTTCGGTTCCACTCGCCCAAACGCAGGAAAGGATTGGCCTGGAAGTCGGGGAGGACTCTTGGTGGGCCCAGACAGGTCTAACACCAGGCCGCCTCGCTAATGGCCCGCTAAGTGGTTTAGACAGAGCTGTGGTTCTCAGATGCCGCGCTGCCCTGAGTGGACATGGCTCCCTCCGAGCCTACGAGCAAGAGCAGGTGCTTTCCCGTGGGGAGGCGGGCGGCAGGGGGTCTATGATCTGCGGTGAGACCCAGAGCCCCATTACTGCACTAGCTGTGAGAACACTGGGAATTTTCATCTCGGGCTGGCTCCCTCTCCTCCCTTCTTCCTTCTCCCCCCACCTCCCTTCCCCAGCCAGCAGCCTTCTGGGCTGCCTCCCCCCCAGCCAGCTGGTGTATGCTCAGAAAATCCAAACTCATTTCCATGTGAGTGGAGGGGGATATAATTAAGGAGGCCCCTTCCCCAAGCTGAAAGAGAGGGAGCCTCATATGTGCCCAGGAGGCAGGGTCAGCGTTAGGGGATCTCTGCCCACAGATGTACGGGGCTCAGCTATGCAGATGACCTGCTGATCCCTGGTGACCTCTTGCAGGGTCCTGGCCAGGCTTTGCAGCTGCCTGAACAGCCCAGGCTGCTCTAACTTGGGCTCACCCTCCCAGAGCCACAGCTGGAGCTTTGTAAAGGGGTCTCCTCTTCCTCCGACTAGAGAGGACACAGACCCTCCACCTCTATTGTGCCCCTGGGCACCACAGGTGGGTAGTAAAACTCTCAGGGCTGGTAGGATGCCTATCCCAAGGTGACCTGGAAAAGGAACAGAGGTGCCCGTGAGCCTCTGGGAAGCACACAGCAGACCCCAGCCTCTGCCTCCTACCCTTAAGCCACAGCCAGGAAAGTTTTCTTGCCAGGAAGTTTTGCTTTACCATTTCATATTTTGTTTCCAGCTGTCTATTCCTTCTTCCCCAAGAGCCCCAGCTGCCCAAGAAAGTAAAATGAAGATACACTGATGAACTGAGAAATACTGATGGGACTAGGTTCCCCAAGTGGAGAGTGCCAGCAGCTAAGAGATTCAGCCCCCAAAAGAAGGGGGGGACAGTGGAAGGACGCTCCCCCAGGCCTATACCCAAATCTGTGGCCCTAACATCAAGCTCATATTAATCTCCAAAACTGACACTTTCTTTCCAGCCTCAGGCCTCCTCTGCTGGGCCGGGTGGCCTCCAGGGTCAGCCTTCCCCGCAAAGGGAAGGCAAGTTAAGGGCTGGCCTGCTCTGTCTTGGAGAAGTAAGGATTAACACAACAGTTGTAAGATGGCCCAGAAGCAGAGCAAGTCACAAGCCACTTCTGCCAGTCCTGCATCCTCTCCTTCAAAAATAGAGAAAACTCTGTTTTTGAGAGGAAGGGATTTGCCCACGGCCAGCGGGTAGGGCCAAGGTGAGAATAGGTTTTGGGACTCCAGCAGCAGTAACGAGTGCTGAGATTACTCTGTGCTATGCACATGTTAGTCTCATTTTTGTTTTTCTTACTCATTTCATCTTTATAGCCCTAAAAAGTTCAGAAAAAGGCCCTCCCTGGTGGCGCAGCGGATTAAAGCACAGCACTGAGAATCTAAAGCCGCTTCCGCATGAGTTCGATTCCCGCCTGCCCCGGAGGAGACCACATGGTGTGGCAGACCTCTCCTGACCCGCCAGCTGCTCCCCTCAGCAGTGTACTTCGTTGATCTGCCTGTTCTGTTCCCCACTGTCTCTGGTGAAGCCTCTCACCGCCCCTGAGCCTCTGACCTGTACCCCAGTTCTGTATGTACAAATAAATAAATCTTTAAAAAAAAAAAAAAAAAGTTCAGAAAAAATGTTATGAGGCCAAAAAAAAAGAAAAAAGGTAGGAGGCCAGGGTTACCATTAGAGAAGGACAGGTATACACTCAGGAAGTCTCCCAGAGCACGTGCTAATCTTCTCCGCCATAAGCACCTCTGTGAGTGCACCCTGTCTTTGTGCCCTCCCGTGTGTGTGGCTGGAGTCAGAGTCCTAAAGAGCCCAGAAAGACCCGCAGAGGCCAGTGCCACCGGGTGTGGCACAGACCAGGAACAGGGCTCGGCCTCCCGAGCCAATGGACAGCAGATGGAAACTGGAGCAGCGGATGCCAGGGAACTGGCTCTTTCCTGGCTGGGGTGGGAATGAGGAGGAGCGCTGACGGCATCCCACCTCGTGTCCTGGGGTGGCCTCGGACTCGGCCTGTCCACATCCAGCTTCACACCTGCTTCACCAGCAGCAGACTCCCTTGAGCCAACCCATGAAGGGCAAAGGGCCAAGGCCAGATGGCAGACAGGAGAGGTAAGAACTGGGCCTCCCATGTAGGAGGCTGGGACAGCTGACTGTGGGCCTCAAGGGGAGCACACACCAGGGTGAAGGGAACACTAGAGTGGTGTTTGAGCATGGACTGCCCCACCTCCCAACAGAGGGAAATCAAATTAGAAGGACGTCAGTGGTGATAGGAGGTTGCCTGACTCATTGGAGGTTGTGGCTGGTTCTTGGGCCTGAGCCAAGGACAGGGGCACAGTGCCCACCACTGCCAACAATGGGTGGAAGCAACACATGTGAACGCTGACAGGTCTGAAGAGGAGGCACATTCCTGCCCTCCTCCCCTACCCCAGGACTCCATGATGGGAGAAAGAAGAGGGGAGGTTTGTGGGAATGATGAGAGTAAGAGGGATCCTGTCCAGGAGAAAGGTGACTTGAAGCAGTCACTTGAGCCCTGTGGGCAGCTGGGGCACAGCTAAATTCAAGAAGGGGAATCAAATAGATGGCCACCCATGGGCCTGAGGTCCACACCCAGAAACAGCAGCATAGGCCCTGAGAGCCCCCCCCACCCCCCCACCCCCGATTTCCAAGCAGAGCCTCTCAGAGTACCCCTCCACCCCGCAAGCCTCCCCAGCCCTTCCCCGGGCAGCCAAGAGCTAGGTTGCACTTGGCCTTCATGGGAGTGACCCACCCATAAGAAGAGGCCTGTGGGAGGTGTCAGGAGGGAGCCCCGCCCCACAACAGCTTCTTCATGTAGTCCCACACCTGCTCTGCGTCTGGCATGCACCCAGGCCTGCTAGCTCTGACAGCAGCAACCCCTTACTGTCCCCCCACCACTACCATTCACTGGCGGGCAAAAAGACCAGACAGGTCCTGAGAACAGTGAACTGGGCCAGGAGGGACTCATGAACTCTGGGGAGCGGCAGGAGAGGGGAAGTGGGGGCACTGAACCTACTCAGCTCCAGCCCCTGGGGGCCATGGGAAAGTACATCTGCTGTGACAGAGTGTGATTTTCAGAGAAGCTACAGATTTGAGTCTTTGTTGAAACTCCCAGGTTTTTAAAAAAGATTTATTGTTATTTATGCATACAAGGGCTTAGGTGGTGGTATAGGCCAGGTGGGGGTTGGGGGGAGGGAGAGGGCATAGAGGATTCACCAGAAACAGAGTGGGGAGCAGGACAGAGAGATGTATTGAAACACACTGCTCCATGGGGATTACGATTGAGATGGAAAAAAAAATGTACAAAATGATGTAAAAATAAACTATTATATATATATAAAAGAAACACACTGCTGAGGGAGCAGCGGGTGAGACAGGCGAGATCTGCTGCACCATGTGGGTCACCTCCCTGGCTGGGGGATAGAACTCATGCTACAGTGGCGGGGGACAGTTGATAGCATGAGACTTAACCCCTGCCCACCAGGGAGGCCCCTGGAACAACTGGCAAATAACTCAAAAGTAAAGGGTATTTATGGTTAACAACATGTTTGGGGACTGCATCTGGAAATTCCAGCCTTAGTGTGTTCGCTGTGCTCAGGCCCATGACTATCTCATAGCACTGACCTTTGCAGCTATGCTCGACTAAGCTCTCAGAAACCCATACCAGAGCTTGAGGTTGGAACCTCCCGGCCCTCCCCGCTTCCCTCCATACTCTGTGTCCTTAGTCCCCAGAACTGCCATTCCACCGCTCAGAGCCACCTGACATCCGCCTGGCCCACTGTGGACAGAGAGGTCTCAGCATAGCCACCACCATTCTTAGCCCTGAGAGGCAACTCTTCCCAGAGCCTCCCAATCCTGCATCTCCTTCTCCCGCAGTCCTCATCATTCTGGATACATTTTTTATTGGGTCTGGCCAGCAACGCTGAGACAAAAAAAAAGGAAAAATCCACAGGGGGAGATAGCTGGTACTGGGTAGATGTGGTAGAAAGGGAGACCCTTTCTCCTTCCTTAGCTCCCTCCCCTCACCATCCGCTCTCAAGGCCACCTCGGCTCAGGGCTTGTGACAGGAGTGCCACCTGGTGGCCATCCTGGAGTAGAGCAGAATCTTAGGGGACATTTGTGTAGCTTTTCATCACTCCCAAGCCCTGCAGAAGGAAATCCCCCCTCTACTCCATTCTATTCTCCTGCCCCACCCCTGCAAACCCATCTCTGAACCTCCCTTCTCAGTGCCCAAGGCCTGAGGCTGAGCAGGAGCTTGTGTGAGTCATGTGGAGCACATCTGA